AAAAAAAAATTTAAATATAAAAGTTTGGGCCTAAATTTCTGCCGAAACCCTGCCCTTTTTTGGATAGGGCTAACTTTGACCACCTCTACCTTCTCTTTATGTATGTGTGCTACGTCACAATGCCACGTCATCATCCAAAGTATATGTGCCACGTAAGCTAGCCACTTCATTTAACAAAATAAAATATGCTTTTGAACAAGATTTGAACCCATAACCTCCAATAAATATAAGTAATACATTCACCATCTCAACCAACTATTATTAATGTTTCAAGCTGCACATAATATTTTAAACTCCTTTCATTTATTAAGTAAAATAAAGGAAATATAATTTATTTATTTTTCACAAGATTAGAATATAAACACATATGATGTAAAAAAAAAAAGTGACATCCGAGGCAACGCTCGAACCACTCACACACTTACTATACAAATAGTCGAACATAATTGCTAAATTAAAGCAAGAAATACACAAACTAGCAACTCGGGGCATCGCTCGGGGTACACACTAGTTAAAATTATAAATCGAGCTGCTTATAATTTGTAAATATTATTACATACATAGTATTCAAAGCCATTATTTGTTGATAGATATCATTAAATTAATACAAAATTATGACAGACTTATAATTTATTATTTAATTTAACGAAAAAATATATTTTTTGAGTAATTAATGAAAAAATAACCCAAAATAACAAGTAAAAACCGATGCAAAGAAAATAAATAAATAAAAAAAATATAAAAAAAAAACTCGACAGCTCGTCGTTGACAAGGGTGGTGCCTTTGCCATGGTAAGGGTTAATAAAAATTCACTTGTTCAGTTGTTCTACTATGTAGGACACTAGTCACTAGGGCACATGGCTTGATCAAAAAGTGAGATTAGATGAGCTAGTTATTCCTCCCACATCTATCAATATAACAAACAGAGAAATATTCACCAAGCTTGTAAATCAATTTCATAAGTCATTCCTCTTTATTCAACGTGAGGCATATCATGCATCATTGACATGAGTTTTAACTAAACTAAGGGCATGTTTTCATACGTTTATTTTTAGTTCGGTTCAGTTCAGCTCTTAATTTCCTTCTCTTATAAAATATTCATTTCAATTTAGTTCAGCTGAGTTCAGTCAATGAGAACATGCCCTAAAATGTGTCTCGAGTACAACATTGTGCTATAGTTAAGAGGTGGTAATGAAATATGCAATTCAAGTGATGTATGTTGAGGTAAATTTGATGTAAATTAGATATGGATCATTTAGCATCTAACTCATTTGGATCAGTCAACTTTATTTGGAATCAGGGCACGCATGTTCTGTTCAGCTTAATTTCGTTTCAATTTAGCTCCAACAATTCAATTGAGTTCCTAATTTCCTTCTCTCATAAACAATTCATTCAGCTCTATTCAGTTCAGTTTAGCTCCAATCTGTTTAGTTTAGTTGTTTTCAGTAAATCGAAACATGCCCTCATTCATGTTCAATTTAGCAAATATAATATTATAATAACTTAATCAATATAAATTCTATTATTTATTGAATTAGTTATGATAAATCTTGGTTATGATCAAAAACAGAAACAGATCAATAAATTCAAAAACAAACTAGTCGAATCAGTTACGACTGTACGAATCAATTTAGTGAGGTCTAGCTACATTCAATCAAGCTAACATTTGGCTTTTAGAATGGGTATAGGCAATTCTTCCCAAATAAAGTAGAAAAATGGTCCCATAAAAATAGTCACAATTAAATCCAGAAAAAGTCAAAAGAGATTCACAAGTGTTCTGTAACCTAGTCAGCCTGTTGAAAGATTGCAAAATAGATTGGTCATTGGATTATTATTATTGGAATGCATGTTCATAAACTTCAAATACCCCAGCATTGCAACTCATGATACTCAATTCATTATAATAATTTGCTAGCTATTATGTTACTAGTACCCCACCATATATTATTTATGTTAATGTCTATAACAATAATTTCATCAATTGTTAAGCAATTCATGTAGGTGTCTTGTAGCATTTGGCATGATATCATTCAAACTCAGCAACTTAACTTTACATTTTGTAGTGTATCTACCTTTTTCATTTTAATGTTCTCTTTTCATTTTTTAGGGTAATTTTGGTTTTGCAAGTACAGACATATTCATTTCCAATAACATTGAACATGTTGCATGCAACATGTTAGGTAACTACTATCAATAAGTAATTCATCAAAAAACATACTAAAAATAGTTAAAGTAAAGCCTAATTAATGTGGTACACACTTACTTTGCTTCAAGGGAAATTGAAAAAAAAAAAAAACTATTGTAGTTTCAATTAAAGGTTGATGTCGTGATACTACCACGAAGACCATGACCAGACCTCAAGCTTCACAGTTTTTTTTAAACTAATGTTTGCTTGTCAGATACTTGCTATATACGTATAGAAGCACAGTCACATTATGTTTCCATCATTATCACATCGTCGATCATGACGATCAACATAAATATTTTAGTAACCTAAAATATTGCTAAGTCTTGATTGTTGTATAATTGTATATACTAGTATATATAAGCACAATCTCTCCAAACATTAAAAATCTAAATGGGGACATCAACCTCAATTTATTATTAGAGGGAGTGGAAGAAAGAAAATTTAAAAGGGTTTCAGGTAGGTTTTAATGAATTTAAATTATAACACAATTAGAATGAGACTAATACAGTGAAAACTTTAAAGTAAAATAATGCTACTACAATTAACCTAAGCCAAACAAGGTGTCCACTTTTAGACATATAAACCTGTTTATACCAATTCTTTAAGGAATTTGTCACCATCTTTTTTGCCCCTTTTGATTGACTCTAAGGTCATTAGGAAGATAAAAGAAATTGCAAAATTAAGGATTGAATACGTACGAATTTCCGCAGCTAATATTGTTTAATTTATAATTAATCACCATTTTTAGGCTTAATCCAATCCACCTAATTTCCCTGATTATAGGTTGAATTTGACAGCATATTTTAAGATACTACAAGTGACTGTCACTTTCTCTCGTTTTGAAGAGATTGTTTTGTGTGATTTTCATGAGGGTAGTATGGGAATTTGCTATAATTGAATCTATGTTTTTTTTGAAAGGCATAATTGAATCCATTTAGGACTTGTTCACTTCACCTAAAACAAGTAGATATGGTCTGAATTTTTTAAGGTCTGATCTGATTTTTTCTGATCTGGTCTGGTTTTATCCGATTTAATAATTTGACTAAACTTTGACCGCATTGTATTACTAATCTTTAAATAAAAACATTATCAAAATGGATCTGGTTAGATTCGTCTCATCATGAACTTTTTAAATATGTAATTTTATTATTTTTTTTATACACAATTAATGATATTTAGCGATAAGTAAATGATAATCAAAAGTTCTGATCTGGTCTGATTTGAATCTTTCTGATCTAGTCTGATATAATCAGAATTTATTTAAGAATAAGTAATAAGTATCTGAAATAAGTTGAAGAGAACAAGTCATTAGGATAGATAAAATAATGTTTAGTTCATTTTATTTAGACATTTTTTTCCCATTATTACATTCTTTATAACTGCTTTTACCTTGTAATGTAAAGCTATTTTTTATTTTTGTTTTTTTTAAATGCACCCTTTTCATTATTAGAGGATCAACTCAACTAAAAGTTCCGTTCAAAAAAAAAAAAAAAAAAAAAAACTGAAAGTAAAAGAATTTCAAATTGATGGTCGATGTCTTGGAATATGCTTTATATTTTATTACGCCCTAGTTGGTTTTGAAGTATGGATGCAACATGGACCCTTTTCATACTGAACGCTTAATATTTCACTTTAAAAGGAGGGGTGGATGAGATTCGAATATGTGAACTTTGTGTCTCATTGATTCTGATATCATTAGGAGTGAGCATGGGGCGGATACCCGTACCATTAGTTCTAACGGTTCGGGTACCCGATAACCAATATCACTAAAGTGATATCCATAAACCGAACCGATAAGTTTGGGTACCCAAATTTTCGGAACGGTTATTGGGTACCAATAAAGTATCCAATAGTGATAATTAAACTTAATAAATTATTTATTATGATAAATTTTAACACTAATTAACAACAATACAATATGATCTTGACCAAATTATTAATTATATTACTAATCATTAATATTGTATAGTGATTATGAAGTAAAGTAAGAGTTTAGATTTTGGAAAAAATAGATTTAAGTAGGATAAAAAACAAAAAATTGCTTATCGGTTCGGAACGGGTAACCGTTAATTTTAAAATGATACCCAATAACCATACCCGATAACAAATTATCAAAACGGGTACCCAAACCGTTATGATTATCGGATCGATACCCTAATTTTCGGAACGGTAACGGAACGGATTTTCGAGTTTTCGGTTTTTCGGGTAGTTTTGCTCAGCCCTAGATATCATAATAGAGGACCAACTCAAGTACTCAACAAAACGTTTAAGCTAATGCTTGAAGCCTACTCAAATTTAGGGCTGCTCACTAGTATGATAATAAGGATTAAGGAGTAATAAACTGACTCAAAAAACGAACATTTGAAAAATCATGGCTCGAAGATTGGACTAATCATGCTAAAACCAACACTAACCCTTAACAATACTCAAAATTTAGCTTGGACCTTTTTAGACATACTTCTATGATTTTAAAATAAAAAGTGAATGTCTTTTAATTTTTTTTTTTAGTGTCACATAGGCGAGTGATGAAAATCCATCCCAAGATCCCCTAGAATCGTGAGAGAAGCTGTCATATGAGTTACTTCTTACTCTCATTAAGATCTTGATATACTTCTTCCGTTTTTTTTATTTATTTATTTTTAAAATTATATCACAACATTAAAAGTTTTACTCTATTTACACACGCACATTTCTTTGACCGTCTTTTGTAATTTATACGTAAGAAAAAAGCATTTTTGTTAAATAAGTATTTCGGTATAATATAGAGATTAATTTTTTCATTATTATTTACAAAAGTAATTAAATAAATTACTGGTGTTCCGAACAAAATGTTTATTGGCAATTTTGTAAACCCCAACGTTATACTAGTAATAATAAATGAACAAAATAAGTACAAATCCTTCTAGCATAGCATAAACAATTAATTATTTTAGAGGTTTAAAGAAAACAGAATTGATTCAATTGACGCTCCTCATTGGACCTCATATATCTGGGCTCTAAAGTCTAAATGAACAAGCAAATACATGTCAATACAATACTTCGCCTTTCTCCAAATTTATATAGTACTACATTGCACATTTCTAATTATCTACTCCAAATTTGAAGGATGTGGTGTGCCATGAAGGTTCACCAAAGAATAATAGGCTCCGTTAGGTCCATTAGCCAAAAGAGAGGAATGTGTACCTTTCTCTACAACCACCCCTTTCTCTAACACCGCGATAAGATCACACTTTTGTATGGTGCTCAACCTATGTGCCACTACAACACTTGTTCTACCAAACATTACTCGTTCGAGTGCCTCTTGCACAGTACTTTCAGACTGGCTATCAAGTGCACTTGTTGCCTCATCTAACAATAGTATTGCTGGGTTTCTTAGAATAGCTCTTGCTATTGCTATTCTTTGCTTTTGTCCTCCTGATAATTGAACCCCTCTATCTCCACACCACGTATCATACCCGTCTTTTAGTCCGGATATGAAGCCATGAGCGTTAGCTGCCTTTGCAGCTTCTATAATCTCTGATTCATCAACCTCATCACTAGCTCCATAGGCTATATTCCCCCGTATGGTATTGGCAAATAATGAAGGCTCTTGGCTCACTAGAGCTATATGCTTCCTAAGGGACCTAAGGTTATACGTCTGCACATCACGTCCATCAATTTTCACAGACCCCTTGAGAGGAACATAGAACCTTTCGATCAATCCAATAATAGTTGACTTACCTGACCCACTTTGGCCCACTAGCGCGGATGATTTACCAGCCTCAATATTTATTGAGAAGCCTTTGAAAATCACAACATCGGGCCTAGTAGGGTATGAAAATTGTACATCTTGGATTTCTATGTGACCACTTATTTTCTCAGGATGGTATCCGTCAGAACTGTCGGGATCAATCTTGGTAATACGGTCTAGGACTGCAAACACTGATCCAACAACATCCACACCCTTGGCAAGGTCTGAGGTCATGCTCCCGGCCTCAGCAATGACACGCCCGGTGGTCACTAAGATTATGATGTTCTGGAACAATGCCTTAGAAGTTAGAAGACCATGAGCCATTAGCCTACCACCATACCAAAAATCAGCGGCCCAAACAAAAATGTACATGCCCTGAGAGGCTCCCAGCCCAAAACCTGCATACCATGACTGTCGAATACTTTCCTTTCGAGGGCCTTCTTGTGCCTTCTCAAGCATTGCTAGGATTCGGTCCTGGGACGAGAAAGCAGTGACTATGCGAAGGTTGGATACAGCTTCAGCAGCCAACTTGCTACTGTCATTTTGTGCCTTGCTTGCCTTCTTAGACATGTTTTTAAGTAAAACCGCCCTCGCGTAGTAACTAATTATAATTAGGGGTTGGGTTGCTATCATGAAAATGGCTAGCTTCCATGAAATGATTAAGCCCATGGTAACTGCAGTTACAACAGCGGAAATTGATTGGACTATGAGTGACATCCGATCTCCAACCAACGATCTTACCTGCAAATAGTCAATAAATGAGTTTACAAGTCACAAAAAAGAGAAAAAATTACTTCCTCCATCACTTTTGATACGTATTCTTCTTTGGGAGTCTCGATTTTATGGTCACATTTAAGGAGGTTAATCGAGTAATGTTTAGGGGTGCTTTAGAGTTAATGAAATGACACATTCAAGGCATTTTTCCCATATAAGGTAGCCGTGAAAATAATAAGGTAGACTACACTATTTCGCTAACAAAGAAAAAGGCACTAAATATGTAGTCCTAAAGATATAACAGAATACAACTAGCACATCGAAATGGAACTATTTAGTAGCAAGGTGATAGATAACTTACAACATTGGCATCTATAGCAAGCCTTGAGCAAATAGCACCAGTACTATTTTCATCCTGATCGAACCACCCAACCTCAAAAGCAAGCATTTTAGCTAGCATCCTTTCTCGTACTCTCTTAGTTAAGAACTCCCCCATATATGCGAAGTTGTAATGTTGAACAATATTCACTATAAATGAGAGCACAGCCAATCCAAAAAAACACCAAGCATAAATCATAGTCTTCCTCTTGATCTCTTCTTTATCTTCCAAGAAATATACGGATATCAAAGACCCCATAGTGAATGCATAAAGTGGTTGGACTGCTCCAAATAATATAGCACCCAAACAACCCAAAATGGCTTGTTTCCACTCGGGTAAGTTCAAAGACAACAATCTACCAAGTGATGGGACAGGCAATATTTCATCTCCCTTAGGCTTGGTATCAAGTTCATTGGCAAAGTCATGCACCGATTTGACTGAACTTGAGCGACTCCCTAATGAGAGTGTACGGCTACTCATGCTATGTCTTGTATCCACATTGTAAGACATAGGTAAGTTTGAGGTGGAAGGGTGAGACAAAGTCCTTTGATTATCATTAGATTTTTCCATCTGCTGTAGCCGGACTAATGAAGTGTACATCCCTTCCTTGAGTTGGATCAACTCATCATGGGAACCGATCTCCATCACCTGGCCATTTTGGATAACGGCAATAGTGTCAGCATTACGAATCGTGGAGAGTCTGTGGGCAATAACTATTGTGGTTCGTCCCAAAGCAGCCTTGTCAAGTGCTTCTTGGACAACTCGTTCTGACTCGGAGTCTAATGCACTAGTTGCCTCATCTAGGAGCAGGACACGCGGTTTCTTGACTATTGCTCTAGCTATTGCTATTCTTTGCTTTTGTCCACCTGACATTTGGACTCCTCTTTCTCCAACCTGCAGACATGGTGCATAAAAAATGAGCAACATTTACTTCACCCACATCAAATATGTTGTACTTTATACATCAACACCAACATTATCTCAAAACCCCTTCGCGATTCCAAGGATGTCAGTGGAATAAGAGAAGGGAAAGTGAAGACGTATACAACCTTACCCTCACTAAAACAGAGAAATTATTTTATACTTGCATATAAATTCACTATTCCAATATGAATCACATTGTCACATATTAATATTGAACTATAGTATTCATTGTATGTCTCTAAGAGATTGTACTATAATAATCTTTAACAGTAATTAGACATTACTTGTTCTTTAGATAATATTCCAAGAAGAATTCAGCAATGCTCAACACTAAGAATGACTGGATACATGTGCAAATTATGATGCATATACCTGTGTATCATAGCCCTGAGGCAATTGACTGATGAAATTGTGAGCATTCGATGCTTTTGCAGCTTCAATGACCTCATCCATCGAAGCATCTTCTTTGCCAAAAAGTATGTTCTCTTTAATTGTAGTCGCGAAAAGTGCAGGTTCCTGGCTGACTAACCCCATTTGTGATCTCAACCACTTAAGTTGAAGTTTATCAATTGACACCCCGTCTAAAAGTATTTCCCCACCGAGGGGGTTATAAAACCTTTGAAGCAAAGCTACTGCAGTAGATTTCCCTGAACCACTCCCTCCAACTAATGCGACTGTTTTCCCTGCAGGAACTTGCAGTGAGAAGTCGCGGAAAATTATTGAATCTGGTCTTGAAGGGTAAGTAAAACTGACATTCTTAAAGTCAACTTCCCCAGATATATTATCTAAGGTCAGCCCATCCATTTTTTCCGAGTCAATATCCGGCACCCGGTTTATCACTTCCATCATCTTCTCTCCTGCTATAGCAGCTTCTGAGAAGTATTTAATGTTCGGTAAACTGGAACCCAGAGCTCTGTCGATAACATCAAAAGATAAAGAAATGAAGTAAGCAACAATAGAAGTCAAGAAGAAATTTTTTTATTGCATGTTCATGCAAGCAGCTTATCCTACTTTCATACTGTAAACACCAAGTTTATTTGATTATTGGTGTCACCATGTCATATTTATCTAAAAAGGGACAATATTACTAGTTAATTTAATGATATTTTAATGATTTTGGGATCATCTTTAGGGTCTCAACAGGTATAAAAGCAAGTCATAAAAGAGAGAGAAATCGAGCGTGTTACGATTTGTAACCCCTAAATTATCAGTTGAAATAATGTTTCTGTTTATTTCTTTCCTCTTTACATTAATATTGTAGGTTGGTTTTTATGGTTTACGCACATGCACCACAATTCTAAACTTCACAAATCACAACACAGAGATTTAAGTCTTTCGTAAATTAGATTGTTCCCTAATCGATTTCTTATTTTCTAACATTAAATTAGAGGGAGAGCAACAACAATATGTTTCAAAGGAAGCTAGCTAGAATAAAACAATAAATTCAAAAAATTATATAAGGGAAAATGAGCAAAAGAACTTACAGTCCTCCCACACAAAGGGCAGCACCAACCATATAAATGGTACCACCTTTAGCAGTGTGGTTTAAAACAAGTTTGGTACCATACCAAGTACAGAAAGCCCAAACAGCAAAAATTACGCCGTTGCTACCAATAGCGACACCCTTAGCCAAACCTTGTCGGAGTCCCAACTTCACTGATCCTTCCAAAGCAGTTGAGAAGTTAGATAATGTTTTCTGTTCTCCTACAAAGGCATAGACTGTTCTTATGGAGGATATTGCTTGTTCTGCTATGCCTGCAGCCTTATTGTACTCAAGAGTCAGCTTCCTAGATAGTCCCATCAATATCCTTCCGTACATCAAGCCCGGTATAATAAGGAAAACTACGAAGGGAAACCCGACTATTGCTAACCTCCATAGCAATGAAAATGCTACCACATAGCTTGAGACAAATAGGGATGCGTTCCTCACAAAATTTGGTACCTAATTCATCAGCAGAGGCAGCATTGGATTGCAAAACTCATGTTAGCTATATACAATTCTACGGAGTACAATTTATCATGGATAACAGAGATGGACTCACAGTCTCACATTATCAAGGATGATGTGATTAATGACAAAAAATTTCTTCATGAGCTTACACACAGTTTCATAACCATTCCTACAATTTATGACTGCTTGCTAAATGCTACTTACAATTTCATGCAATAGCCAAGAGGGCAAGAAGGAAAATAAAAGGCATCATAACAAGAAAGTATACCTTTTCACTTATTACACCTTGGATGAGAAGGCTATCATTGGTAACACTGATGATTACTTCAGAAGTACTACTAACATTTAAATCAAAGTAACCCACATCTTGCCTCAACACTGCTTTCAAGTATTTATATCGCAGTCTCGAGGCTTGTCTTTCAGCTGTTCTCGTCCAACAATATCCCTCTGAAAATGGCAAAACCAAACAAATAAAGCAATTACATAAATAAACCAGATTGTAAATATAGCACTATAGGATAAGCATCAGCCTAGTCACAAGTTTCGGGTCAGCTACTAAACTCTACTCTCTAAGCACTCCATCCGTCCATTCTAGTAGCATTAAGACTCATAAGTCATTTTAGTCACTTCATATAAACATTTGTTACAAGAATTTTCCATGTTATATGTATAGGTTTTTACTCACTATTGCGGATGATTTCACAAGGATGACTTAGGTTGTTAGTTTTATTTTGAATCCCATTCAGAATATCATAACTTATCTCTAGTTATTAGGATGTCTTAGGATGATAAGCTGTTAGTGTTAAGAGCCCAAATGAACCTAATGAGGTCAAGGTAAGCCAAGGAGACATATTAATGTGCTTTGATACTTCGAAAAGGACATTAAACATCACAAGATTCACAATGACACTCCTCAACAAAAAAAATAAAACTCTATAATTTCAGCTTAAGTTGCATGTCAAAGAACTGCAGAGAGTGTGGAGCTATAACCTTATGCCGGAACCCGAGCGTTGACCATGTTTTCCGGCATTGACAGCCTCCCTGTATTTTTCCTCTTTCTCCCTCACCAACACCACCCCACCACCACCACTACCTCATTGCCACCCTCACTAACGCCATCTCACAAAAAAAAAAGAAGGTGAAGAACATATTTTTTTTTGAAGAAAGAAGGTGAAGAACATTAACTGGGTCAATTGCTGGTTAATTTTCTGTAAAAACCCTGATACACCTCTCCAATTAACTGGGTTGGTCTCACATCTAAGAAATATGAGAGCAATCGCCCTTGCATTAGGGTGCTCGCTCACTGCGGCATTTCATCGAACAGGTGGTGTGCCTCTGAAAACGAGCAACAAATTAAACCTATTGCCATTATGTACTCAAATAATCAGTGAGCAATCTGAATTGGGTTTGAAGAATTCGAGCTCTAATGGCGAAGAAGCACCCAAGATGTTGTCTTTTAGAATAGAGAGGCTTCCAAGAGGGGAATCAATTGGGTATTTAGTTCAGAAATGGATGGCTGAAGGTTTTCTTGTTCATAGGATAGGACTATAGGAGTGTTCTCTTTCCCTCTATTGGGTTTATTTTTGTTTTCATAAGAATAGACTTACTTGGTGATGGTGATGGTGTTGGTGAGGGTGGCATTGTGGCAATGAGCTGATGAGGTGGTGTTGGTGAGGGCGAGGTGGTTTTATGATATATATATATATATATATATATATATATATATATATATATATATTCTTCCTCCGTTCTGTTAATATTGCAACAATGGACTTTTTGCACTATTCATTACTCTTGTTTGACCATATAATATGATTTATACGTTATGCAAAATATAGTTATGTGAGATCTTATTGGATTCGTCTCATAAAATACTTTCACAGTATCAAATTTTTATAATTTTTACGCTTACACAATTATAGATATCTAGCATATAAAATGTGCATTGGGATGCATAATTTCCTCCTTGTTGCAATATTAATCGAACGGAGAAAGTATATAGTATAAAACCACCTCGCCTTTTCTCTCACCAACACCACCTCTTTTCTCATAAAACCACCTCTTTTCTCATAAAAAGGCGAGGTGGCATTGTGTTGTTTATATATATACGATACCCGGGTTGTTTATGAACTTTTAAGATAAAATTATATTATAATTCAATTTAATTAAAAATAGAATTCTAAATTAATTAATTTTTTTTTTGCTACAAAGTCTATCTATATTGATCCAACGTGGTACGACATTTGGTGAAAAATTAAAACGCTAAATGATGTTGTCTTATGGCCTAATTATAAGTTTATTATTTGGTATTTTATCAAAAGTAAAAGGGAAATTCTCATTGGTAGCCTCGTACTTTTGCGTATTTTCATTGGTAGCCACTTTTTATATGAATTATATTTGGTAGCCGCCAACTCTTAAGAAAATACTTCCATAACCTTATTGAGCTAAAACCGTTAGTTGATTGTTAAATTTAACCAAGGTTAGTTTTATAATAATTTAAAAATACTTAACTAAGGTTAGTTATATCATAATTTAATTAATCTTACAAAAAATAAAAATAACAACCCTTCCCCTAACCAGCCAGCCACCCCCTGCCATCTCCACCTCCATTGACGGCGCCGTCGCCCAAGCTTCCCCTCCCACCGGCGCCCACTTCCCGACACCCCGACCCCAATTCCCGACAACCCGACTCCAATTCCCGACACCCCCAGCCCTAATTCCCGAAAACCCCAGCCCCAATTCTCAAACACCCAAGCCCCTGCTCCCTCGCGCTCCAAATCGGGAAACCTCGCAGCACCCTCTAGCAAACGACCAAGGTTTTGATCTTTTGATGATAATGCTGACTGATGGAGATGGTTGATGTGGAATAATGAAGATGGTTAAATGGGGGTAGATCGTGAGTAGCCAATGAAAGGAAAGAAGAACATGGTTGGTTTGAGGGTTTTCATATAAAGAGGGAAAGAGAAAAGAGGTGATTTCGTGGTGGATTAGAGGGGACGGGGAGGATGACTGAAGGTGGGGGACGACAGCGGAAGCAGGAGCGGCTAGAAATGGAGCAGCAGCGCCGGCAGAAGGGGAGAGGGGACTAGGTGAGGGAGGTGGCTGGGCTAGTGCGTGGGGGAGGGGTGTTTTAATTTTTTTTTTTTAAAAATTAATTAAATTAAAATTAATACAGTTAAATTTTAACACCCACTTAATGGTTTATGTTAAATATGGTTACAGAAGTGAAAACGTTAACAGTTTGAGGCTATCAAAGATGATTCATATAAAAAGTGGCTACTAATGGAAATACCCAAAAGTACAAGGCTACCAATGAGAATTTCTCAAAATAAAACTCTAAACTAATCTTATTCTAAACAAATTTTTTTTATCTTATGAACTCTATCCAAATCTATCCAAGTTGGTGTGACACTTGGCGATTTTTATCTATAAAGTCTATTCAAATCTATCTAAGGTGGCGCGACACTTGGCGAAAAATTAGAATGTCAAGTGTTGCTATTTCGTGATCTGGCTAAAAATTTAGCTTTATATGATACGATATATACATATCATATGATATGAATTCTTATATATATATATATATATATATATATATATATATATATATATATATATATTATCTCCGTTAATTGTTTTGTGCAACTTTTGTCATTTCGGGATGATCGGAGTTATGTGCAACTTTCCAATTTCTTACTATTTTTAGTAAAAAAGGTGGAAATTACTGATTTACCCTTACTTAACCCTTTTAAATTTTTTAATTGTTACCCTTACTCTAACCTAGTTACACTAACCTTACACTTACTCTAATCTAATCAGATTCCCTAATCTAATGACTCCCTCCATTTATTACCCCAATTCCCACCAACCTCTTCATTCACTCACATCCCCAACCACCTAAAATTTATTACGATGCTTTGCCTCCTCTATTTCTTCTAGATATTTCTCCAGATGAACCCTAGTTCATCAATTGGGGTTTTCTCTCTCCTCTTCTTCTTCGGTTTCCCACTTCCTCTCTCCAGATCTAAACTTCTCTCCTTCTCTCTTTCTCACACTACTAGAAAAGAGCGTTTTCCGACGGAAATTTTTCGTCGAAAACACCCTGTTTTCCGTCGGAAAACATGTTTCCGACGGAAGCTGTCGTTGGAAAAGCAGTTGTAGGAAAAACGACATTTTCCGACGGAAATTCCGTCGGAAACACTTTTCCGACGGAATTTTCAACGGATTTTTTCCTCGAAAAATGTTTTCCGGCACCGTCAAAATCCGTCGGAAACTTCCGAAGGGAACAAAATCCATCGGAATTTTTCGACGGAAATTCCGTCGGAAACCGCTGCCAAAAAAAATAATAAGAAAAAGGCACCCCACCACCCACAACTGCTATCATCCCCCAACCACCAATTTTGCCACCAAACGCCACCACCACCACCACAACACCAATATCATCCCACACCACTTCCTTAACCCACCAGCCCCCTAACCCGTATCAACAGTCCCGAACCACCCCACCACCCACAACCACCAGAACCTCTACCCACCTAACCAAAACCCACACAAACGCCACCACCACCACATCGCTATCATCCCCCACCACTTCCTTAACCCACCAGCCTAGATCTACCACAAAACCCACACAAACCACCCCACGAGCCACCTTAAACCACCACCGCCATCGCCGAAAACAACCATCACAACCCAAAAATTAACAAAAAAAAATAAATTAAAATCCCAACACCCAAAACCCGAACTCCAACAGCTACCATAACCACATATATTCGATCTAGTTAACTTGACACCCAAAAAATAAAAAAACAGAACAAAAAAAGTTGAAATTCAGAACAAAAAACATACCACAACGATTCAACCATGGTTAGTCTTGAAATTGGTCTGAAAATTGGTTTTATAAGGCCAAATTCGACCATGAAAACGCTAGATCTAGCATTTCCATGGTCGAACTTGCTCTTAAAACCATAACACGCCAGGAATGTGGTCGGGAATATGGCCAGAAAAGCTTCGTGGGCTAGCTTAATCAACAGCAAATTAAAGGAGATCGAGAGAGGAGAAATAAAGAGTAGAGAAGGAGTAGCAAAGGAGATCGAGAGAGGAGAGATAAAGAGAGAGGAGAGATAAAGAATGAAGAGAGAGAGGGAGCGCAGTGCGGCGCGGCATGAGGGAAAGAGGAGAGTGAGGGAGAAAGGGGAACTGAAATGGGGGGTTGGTTTTAGGGTTAGCTATTTATACGAAATTTTTTACCTTTTAAAATAATTGTGGTCATATGCTTTTCCGACGGAAAATTCCGTCGGAAATTTCCGACGGATTTAAGTCCGTCAGAAATTATTTTATTTATGACGGATTTTTCAGTCGGAACATACTTTCCTACGAAATTTCCGCCGGAACTGTTTGAAATCCGTCGGAAAGTTCCGACGGAATAAAATTCTGTCGAAAATTTCCGACAGAATTTTTTTCCGTCGGAAATTTTGTGATTTGCGATGGATTTTCGTGTCCGTCGAAATTCGGCCTATTTCTAGTAGTGTCAAACACACGTCCCCTCTCAACCATGATTAACCTTGATCCCTTGAAAGAAGCTTACATGGCCACCGACGACAAAGGTGAGGAGAACTTGATCCAGCATCTTATCCACTGCTTTGAGACTAGTTCACCCTTCCCTCGTGCTTTCTATGAGTCCAGCGAAACGGGTCCCTATTGTACGTTATACAACTACAGGGCTCTGGGTCAAGTGCTCAAAAGTGTTGATGAGGAAGAAAAACAAAAGAGGGAGGAGGGACAGGGTGAGTCCCGTAGGAAGTCCCGATTTTTTTGAGGTTCCTATAGAAATGGTGTCGGAAACTGGAGAGGGGAGTGCGACTCCTCCAGAAAAACCTAGATCTAAGAGGGAAAGGCCACCCTTTAAGGTGCGTGCTACTCGGAAGGCGGCGCGTGTAGCTTTGAGAAGGATGCGTGGGCTTCCTGATGAGGAACTCATCGTCCTTTCATCTGATGAGGAGGCTGATGAGGCACCTCCTTCCTTGGAACCGGAATCTGACTCTAGTTTTGTCCCTGTTGTGCACTTCTCTGTGAGGCGAATGAACCCTAGGGTTCAACCCTCCGATTAACTGCTCTCGTAACGATTCCTAACCCTAATTTCTTTATTTGAAATTTTTGAGTCCCTCTTACTTGATTTTATGATATATTGGTTATGATGTTGTGATTATGTGCTGGTTAATTGGTTTGAACATGATTAATTGTTGTTGTTGGTTAATTGTTGTTGTTGGTTAATTGAACATGATTCTGTTGTGATTATGTGCTGGTTAAATGGTTTTTTGGATGACCATTTTAAATTGTTCCTGTTGATGGATGGAGTATGCAGAGAATGGTGGGTTATTGCTTGTGTTACTGGTTATGTTGCCTTATTTGGGGGTTGGTGTTATGTATTGGTTTCTCTTCTCTACTCTTGTATTGGAAATTTGTTTACCCTGGTTATGTTGTTGGACTATACTGTGTTGTTGGTAAGTTGATTACCTTGCTGTTGTTGCTGGTCTATACTGCTGTGTTGCCTATTTGGTGAACAAGTTTTCAATTGTGGTTGGAGTATGCATATTTTGGGTTATTGATGATGTTGGTGGATTGTTTGGACTGGTGCTGTTGTTGGTTTATTTGGCATGAATTACTTATGGCTTGAAAAGGGAATTTGATTGATGAATGATGATGCTACTTACTTACTGCTTTTTTGTGGTAAACTTCTGATTTTTATGTGTTGTTCTCAATGATCAATTGTGTAGAGAACAGTGGTACATGTTTGAGTCCCCTATTGTTGCTTGTGTACTACTCAGTAGGGAGCCCACTTTTGTCTGAGTACCTTATTTTATTTGAAGTCCATATGATGAAGGGACTCCATTGAATTACAAATTGAACAAGTCATTTGCTCCAACTATCACAATAATGGGATGGTTGTTGAGGTAAACTTGTTTTATTTGCTGTATTCAAGATTTAATAATTCTTCTAATGGATTCATTTTCATACCTCATAATGCATTCAAATTCTTTCATTCCATTCAAAATGTGGCTACAAAAAGCCTATTATAGAAGAACTAACATATCACTGCCTTAGTGGTCTATCACATGATAACAAACAAAATACACCTAACCACCTAGTCATAAACAAGACTAATAAAATAAAATGACCAAAAAAGGAACTACACACTGTAGATGGTTATGTGTCGCAGTACATGTTGATGTTCTGAGTCTGTTTCTTTCCTTGACTTAGTCTGCATCCACCTCCATATCCTCCTCTGCATCATGATTACCTTGAGGTGTTGGCCTAAACATTGTGTTTAGATACTCCACAGCCTCAATTACTACTTCCTTCTCAACCTGCACAACATTTGGCAGGGTTCCCAGATTTTCTAGTTTTTTCTTGTTCATGTGTGGGATTTTGTACTTGTTACCCCCTTGTGCTTTCAGTATCTTGATCATGCATCTCTGTAAAGTGACCCAAATATACTTGTTCACTTCTGGTTTGAAAGTGTTATATGACTCAATAAATTTCTCAACAAGTTCATCTAGATTTTTGGGAAAGGACTGATACTGTAATGATTGAATAGACCTAAAAAATCCTAAATCCAACACATTTAAATCTGGTGATTGTGTTGGCTGGAAGAAAAAATGTATGTTGAATCCATTTACTGTTGTTGCTGCAATAAACTCATCATCTGTTGGTAATTAATGTGGTCTTGCATTATCCCACTGAGTGATTACATTTTTAGGCAGACTTTCAGGCCAATTAGAAATTACAGCTGGTATAACTTTGTTGAGCAACATTTCTCTAATTACTTCTCTGTTTACATTTTGGAGTGCCTTTGTGACCATTGTTCCTGCTGCTCTGTTCTTACTTGATTTCTTAGCCCTCTCTTGAACTGTAAAAGGGAATATCCCATATTTCCCATCATGAATGAGTTCCCCATTAGGCCCATACAGTGGCTTCCCAATTAGTGCCATGAACATGGCCTTTAACTTAAACCTTCTTGATTGTTGTGCCATGTATGGATCTTCTTTACTTGGAAGGAGATAAAATCTCCTCTTGTCTGGGTTCAAGTAGAACCATTTTTCATCAATGTGTATTACTCTGTCCATATCTTCAAATGTGGGGTCCTCATTTCCTAAAAAAGGATTAATATGAGATAGAACCCACTTCATTCTTGCTACTTTATGGTTAGATGACAGTGCTGTCTTGTTACTTGCAGTATGTGTTCTCAGCCTACCCTTTTTATTCAAATAATGAAGAGTGACATGAGATATCTTCAGTGCTGATGCATAAGACCTTTCAGTCTGCCTTAAATGAAGGGGCACTGACTGTAAAAATTCATCTGTGAATTCCCTAGGTTTTGGACCTGTTCTGCCTATTTTTATAGACTTGACATCAATCAAATTTCCCTGAGCCATTTGTTTTTTAATGTCAGTGAATATCCTTGTGATTGTTGATTTGTGAACATGGAATTGAACTGAAAGTTGCACTTTATAACCTCTTGGTAAATTACCATCTTGCATTTTGAACAACATTGCATCAACAATCTGTCTTCTTTGTTGCATGGTTAGTTGTTTTCTGTTAATGCTCTGAGTGCCTTGTTGTTCTTCTTGCATGCCCTGAACATCTGCTTCTGTTTCTGATACATGAGTGCCATTTTCTGTATCATCCTCTTGCTGCATATTTTCATTTTCAGAGTCGTAATACTCTATGTCTTCATCTTGCATCTCCTCCTCTACATCGAAGTATAATTCTGCCAACTCTTCCTCTGTCAATAAGTGATCAACATCATAAAACATAGATTCATCAAACTCTGCCATGGCTGTTTTTTTTTCCTGTGTGTTTGCAGATTTCTGTTGCTGTTGAAGGACTAGTTGATGATGGTTTTTGAGGAGATGAAGCAGCCCTTCCTTTTGTGTAGATGAAGCAATGATGTTGACGGGTTTATGTGAAGATTTTGTGCAGCACTAATTAAATTTTTTGACTAATTATGGGCTAATTTAGGGTGCTTAGTGCTAACTTTTGTCAAACAGTTTCATGATTTGGAAAATTGATTGTTTGTAATTAATGGGTGAACATTTAATGGCTTTTGGTTGTTGGGGGCTAGTATTTATAAGCCTCTCAAACAATGAATGGAATGTGGGAATGATCTCATAAATTTTAAATGAGGAGCAGTTTTTTTTTTTTTTAAACTGTTGGAGGGAATTGAAATCCCACCCAAAATTCAAACCTTTTGAATTTTGGCTGAAAATTTCGGTGGGAATGTCATTCCCTCTAAAAGGGTATGATTTCCCCACCAACACACATGGGGGTAGCCTACCATTATCTCTCCTCCCAACTTTAATTACTTTATCAAATCAACCCTTAATCTATACCCCTGAAATTTTGCATTGGTAACCGAAAACCCCCTCAAAGTTGCACAAACCAATTAATGGAGGTAGTATATATATATATATATATATATATATATATATATATATATATATATATATATATATATATATATATATATATATATTATAAGGAGGTTTTTGGCAAACTATTCATTTTTTATGGTATGTTTTATGTGTGGTCGGCTGATACACACCAAAACACTGACTGGTTTAATCCTTGACCGAGTAACCCTCGATCGTCCGAGTAACCTCTTATTGATTGAGTAACCCCTAGACAAGTAACTCCGGTCACATAATGTGATTAGCTACAGGTAAAACTTAACTTTGTGTTTTTTTTTTTTTTTAATGTAACATGCTACGATTTATTTGTATATAAAAAAAAATGTTATGACTTAACTTCCATGTTCAATGTTCTTTTTACAATTCAATATACTTCGTACAATGTTATCTTTTGATCGAGTACATACAGTTTTAGACTTTTAGTAGGTGTTACTCCATAGTTTTATTCTAAGTACCACGTAAATTAGTGAGCTTCATGCCTTCATCTCTTTGTAAATTGATATTTTGTTAGCTACTTTATACAATTATATCCTTAGTATAGAAATAAAATACGGAGTAAGTACTGTATATAATAGCAAAACGAAATAAAGAAGTCAAAAACAGAAAAATAAAAATGAAAGATTGTGTAGACGCACCAAGGAAACCAAAAACCAATGCTCCTGCTCCCATAATGCATAAAACTAATACGTTCTGTAGAGAAATTACATGAACAATCTTAGATGAAAATGTGAAAATAGCTATTACTCAACAATTTATTACCTTACCATACTAATAATTGTGGTAACAACTAACAAGTTAGTACTAATGGATAATTAAAGGTTGTAATAATATTGTTTACCATAAAATATGCACATCCCATTGTTAGATTTAATAAAACAACAAAAGAAAAAACAGTAATGGGCAAGCCTAGCCATATAAGTTAGATAATGCATTATGCCTTGGGCTACCATGACACAAGCTAAGCACACAACACTATCATGGGCTAGCATAGCCATAAGTTAGCACAACCATTGCCATAATTTTCTTTTATGATTATTATTGAAATATAATTAAAGATATTTCATATCAAATTAGTGGATCCTGAAAAATGTGCATGGCAAAAAAAAAAAAAAAAAATCAATAATTGTGTAATGGAGTACATAATAATAAGCATCTTATGTGATCACCAAAAACTTTGTAACCAATCTAATTGAAGTTTTTTTTTCAAGGGAATTTTTCCTCCTAAACTCTATATTTTTTAAAAGCATTATTATTATTATTATTATTTTATTTTTTTTGACACATTATTATTATTATTATTATTATTATTATTATTATTATTATTATTATTATTATTAAATAACAAAAACCTACAAAGTCAAAAGATTTACAAGAAATTAGTGGGGAGCCGAGATACAATCTGGGCCCCCACCCCTCTAGCTATAGCGAACCCAATCCTGTTAAAGATGTGAGCAGCCGCACGAGCTCCAATATCCTGAGTCCTAGCGAACGCCTAAACCCGCTTCAGCAACGCAACGGCATCCTTCTCTAATTCCCCCAATGAAGAAAAGGAGAAAGGAAGAAAACCATAGCCAATAGCCCTGCAACGCGCCCCATACTTGTCTCGCTTCCGCTGAGCCGCAGCCGACATAACACGACCAGGAACGAAGTCAGACAACCCAGATTGAGTCAATGGAGAAGACCCCGTCAAGTCAACACATACATCTAGGCCTCTATCCCAGGAGTTAAGCAACACATCTGCTGGCCGAAGAGCCTCGTCGTTCCCTCCAGTTAACCCAACGTTGATCTCCTTCCTTGCAGAAATCCCAGAGCGGAAACAAATATCAACAAGGGTATCACGAACAACGTTATGCCGATGTTTAATACCCACCATCCCAGCACAAGACACTGCATGATCCCCATAAATATCCCCATCAAAAACTCTTGAGCAAGCAGAACAAGGTGCCGATACGGAGAACAAGGGAACACCCAACCGGTAGCAAAGAACACAACGGTAAGTCTTACCATTCATAGTCTGACCCAGACCTGATATCGGGACCGCTCGCAACCAGGCAGAAGAGTAATCCCCCTGCTGGGACTTCCATAAGGCAAACTGACGCGGAGACAAGGAGAAAGTGGATTCTGCAGATGCAGTGACCTTCGTGAAATATATATCTGCCAATTTCTTCATGAGTTTGGGGGCAGCGATCTCACCAGGGTAACGCAAAAGGTCAGTCTCCACAGTCCTATTAAAAAGACTAAGAGCGTCGTCGAAGGCCGGACCTGGACCAACAATACCAGAATTGCGAAGAAGCGAAGCCTGTAGACCAGAAGACTACAAACGCGACGCAAGGAAAGCATAGTGTCGAACATCACCCGCTGAATAGACACCCAGTCCTCCATAAGAAAAAGGTAAGGTGGCAAGGCGCCATTGCCAATCACCAAAACCTGGCCCCGAAGCAGTTACAATGCGCTCCACAGAACCTCGAAGGGCCACATCAAAAGAAATCTGGGCCGCTTCAAAAAGACGAGGAGGACAAGTGCGCATAGAAAAGTAGAGTTTTGAAACTTCTATATATCAATTATCAATAATTTACAAAAATCGAACATGGCTCGGAAATTATCTAGTAATCGGAAATTATCTAGTAATTACTTCTTTGGGATGAATGATTTTTTTTTTTCCTTTGGCCGGTCCAGAGGGATGTTTTGTGGTACTCCTCATGTCCTTAATTTTTTGCCTCACTGCAAAAATTAAAAAGTCAAACTTTAAAATCTTTAATCATTTTTCCTGATCTGATCTGGTCTAGTCTGATCTAAATGTTAAATTTGATCAAATTTTAACCTTAAATATACGATAATCTATACGGAAAAAATATATCAAATGGGGTCTTGTTAAATTCGTAATAATGTGTATTTTATTAATATGTGATTTTCATAATTTTTTTCATTACGAAATTAAAGATATTTAGCGATAAAAAACTGCACATAAAACGATGGTTTGATCTTAATTTATTTTATTCTGATCTTATCTAAACTTATTTTTTCAGCCCTAATCTATATAATATATTTATGTGGGATCTTCTTACATTTGTCTCATTATATATATATATATTTTTTATTAATTTTTAGTTTTTATAATTTTTACATGTATACATATGGAGATAAAATGTGCTTTGGAGACAGAAAAAAGTCATGTACTAAATTTGGTACCAATTAATTTATTAACCATTTTATCACCTTTTCATGTATATATATAATGATGGCTTTATGGAAAAAAAAAATTGTAATATCACATTACAAAGTCTTTTTTATTACATAAACATATACTCCCTTTGTTACTTTTCTATGAATTACGTCTTCTATTTTGGATGTACCAATTTTATGGCTAAATTTCTAATCTTTTATAAAACATAATTTAAGACCCCGTTCACTTCATCTTATTTTTGCTGAACAGAAATTATTTTTACTGAAATGAAATTATTTTTGCTGAACTTAAATTATTTTTACTGAACTGAAATTAATTTTACTGAACTAAAATTATTTTGCTGAGTTGAAATTATTTTTACTGATTTTCTATTATATTTTTTCTGTAAGTTTACTGATTTTTACTGAACTGAAATTATTTTTACTAAATATTATTTTTAAGGTGAAGTGAACAAGGCCTAATTTTACCCATTTAACCCCATATTTTCACACTTCTAATACACTATCCTCATATCATCTACTTCGAATGCAACTACTTTCATTTACCAAAATATTTACTTATCTATTAACTATTACTAAAACAAAAGTTGCTGACATCACCATTACCCACGTGTCGTTTTCTCAATAAAAAAATTCCCGCCTAAATGCAATGATGATGTCATCTTTTTTTTTTTTTTTGGAAAGCTATCATATTTAACATTTTTGAAATTTAAATATTGAGAGTTTCTACATTACAACTAAAATCTATCAATTTATCATAGGAATTGAAACAATTTTAAATAGCACACTAATAAATAACCTCCTACATTGAATTATGAATTAGAAAACGTTGAACGAATACTACATCATAATTTTGATTAAAATAAATAATTTTAAAATTATAAAATATACGTAATTCTTATTAATATTCATGTATAATAGCGATTTATTTTCAAAATGTACAAATTAAAAATAGGTTTTATATAAACCGTGGATTGCACTAGTTCTTACCTAGTTTATTAAAATATTTATCTAATCACAAAGCAAATATTATCATTTACCAAAATATTTACCTACTCACCAAACAAACACTTTCATTTAATAAATATCTACCTACCTCAAACAAATATTCTCATTTTACATATCCCAATTTTTTTTTATCGTAAATGCCCATGTTAAAAACTAAACATAACCATATAAAAGTGATAGAGGGAGAATTTATTTGTGTCTTTCTCTATACTTAATTGTGATTAAAATACTCCATCCGTCCCTAAATTACATTCCTCTTTGGAAATTTACACGGAAATTAAGGAGGAAAGAATAAGACAAATAACAATAATTAGATAATGCAATGGAAAGTACCAATCACATTGCTCATGACAAAGATAGATTAATGATTACTCATGACATATCATCAATCCTTCGCAAAAAAAAAAAAGACCAATCACATGCTCTTAATTGAAAATTTTTAACCAATCATATTCATTGTAACTTAGCACAAGGATTCTAAAAAATTAAAGGCTGAAAAAGTAAATTAGCCAACCAAACAT